ACGTGGGTGCTGCAGGCAAGTAATTAGGTGTTACCCTTTGCTCCCTTAATTCGTGTAACTGCTGCTCGAATCTGTGGGACATCTCCTTGAGAGATTTGTCGTGTTTGTCCTGCTCTTCACGTATGCACTTTTTGAATGTGCTTTCTAACTCACCTTTTAACTTCCCGACGGTTTGCGTCATCACATCGGTGAGATGCTCAGCTAACGAAAGTATATCAAAACTACGCGCTCCGTAATTTTCATTAGCGGTTCTGCGTCTCTCATTTAAATTAGTATTGAGTCTTTGACTCTGTCTCCTCCCGTGTTGCGACGCGTCGAGATTTCCTCGCGCGTCAGCAGCACCGAAATCGAACGATATATCGTTTAAAAAGTGCTCACCTGTGAATTCGGCGCTTGCGGATTCACTGGGAGGGTTTTTATGCCCCTCCGGCAAATCGGCCGATTTTCGATGATGATCGTCCATCTACACCATCACCCAGATATATGGAAAAAAAATCAAGTGCCCAAATTTTTAGATACCAACTAGGCGTACATTAAACTCTATCAACTGGGGCAGTAGTGTAATGGTTATCATTGAAGGCTTGCATAGTTCTTTCCTTCACAGCGAAGTGACTTGTTGTTTCTTTCCGATCCCGGTTCAATTCCGGGCTGCTCCAACTTTTTGCACATCTTTTTGCTGCACACTAATTTCCTTTTAGTAATGATAAGTAATTTTATTTGTTTATTTGATAAAAAATACACCATCCAACTCTAATCAGTTTACCACATTCCACATATCGTTAACAATAATTTACAATGAAATAATCATATCAATAAGAACTCTACAAGTATAAACCAGCTGGACCGCTATCTTGTTTTTGATAAAGTATACGTTCTCTTGCACTATCAAAGTCCTTCTTTGTAACTCTCATTCGTCTTTCTCTGAGTGCTAATAAACCTGCTTCAGTTGCAACAGCTTTAATGTCAGCACCTGAAAGTTCATCCTTTGCCATAACATATTCTTCAAGGTTAACATCTTCACTCAAGTTCATTCTTGATGTGTGCAACTTGAAGATATGACGTTTAGTTTTGATATCAGGCAATGGGAATTCAATCTTTCTATCAATTCTACCTGGTCTAATAAGTGCAGGATCCAAAGTTTCAATCTTGTTTGTTGCCATAATAACTTTGACATCACCTCTTGTATCGAAACCGTCTAATTGATTAAGTAATTCTAACATAGTTCTTTGAATTTCCCTTTCACCACCTGATTGACTGTCATATCTCTTTGTACCAACGGCATCAATTTCGTCAATGAAAACAATAGCAGGCGAATTCTCCTCTGCTACCTTGAATAACTCTCTAACCAATTTTGGACCATCACCAAGGTATTTTTGAATCAATTCTGAACCAACAATACGTAAGAAGGTTGCAGAAGTCTGATGCGCAACTGCTTTAACGAGTAAAGTCTTACCGGTACCAGGTTGGCCGTATAAGATGACACCTTTTGGTGGTTTGATACCCATTTCTTCATACAATTCAGGATGAGTGAGCGGTAATTCTACTGCTTCCTTAATTTCCTGTATTTGTTGATCCAGACCACCAATATCTGCGTAAGATTCTTGTGGCGCTTTATCTAATTTCATGACACTGACTGTAGGGTCCTGATCATCTGATAAAACACCAATAACAGCCATATTCTTATTATGTAAAAGTACTGAACAGCCAGGTTCTAAGAGGTCCTTATCGACGAAAGACAAGATCATAACGTATTGCTCTGGACCGGTTGCTGTTGTAATTATAGCATGCTCATCATCAATAATCTCCTCTAAAGTACCGATAGCAATTGGTAAACCACGTAATTCATCTAATTTACTACGCTCTTCAGAGTGAGGGTCATCTTCTGACGCGTTTGGTTTGAGTATAGCTTGGTTTCTAATAAATTCTTCCTCTAAGAGAAGATAATCCTTTATTCTCTCTTGCTTTAATAAACGTAATCTACATCTCGTCGTTGGATTGACGGTAGGTAATTTGGTAACTGCAGAAGGACCTCTCTTTGCTTTCTTTCCTGTTCTTGTAGGTACAGGTGGTTCCCAACGCTTTTGTTGTTTATCCTATCAAATTGTTAAGTATTCTGATAATCGACTAGTAAAAAGCTAACCTTGTCACCTTGCTGCTTTTTGTTTGGTTGAGATTGTTGTTGACCCTATGAATATGTCAGATTCTGTATATCGCTTCATATATTATTTATTCACCATATTATTATGTATGAGTGGTTTAAGTCAGAGTTGTAATATGACGCGGCCACTCTGAAGTTGGAAGAAGAGCAAAATAAAAAAATACAAAATAGACTAAAATACGTTATGAATGATTGTTTTATATTAATGCCACTGTATTATAACAGCTTACTAAAATTCTGAATCAATAGTCATAGATATCGATCGACATATTAGACGTATAGTGATCTACAATGTAATATGATCTATATCATAAGACATGTGCGTTGACAGGGTCGGTGTTTTACACTTATCTCAATGACGAATCCGGATGAACAGCTATCTAAAGAATGGGGGGAGTACGGTTATGCATTGTGGAGTCAATCGAAATCTTGTAAATCTGAGCCGCAGCAAGAAGAATATGCACTATGCATTATTTCTGTGCAGTGGAGCAATTATCCGTTCATAGTGACAAATGTGTCCATTTAGGTCATAAAATTTGGAGCGATAACCAAATTTGTGGAGCAATGGCCGTCAAGCAATACCAAATAATACTAAATACGTAGCTTAAGTACATAGTCTCCTTACCATATAAAGCAACAAACGGTCACTCCGCAATCCTGCATTCCACAAATTGAAATTTGTACCTGAATGACTGTTCATGGGATACACTTAATCAGGAATTCTTAGTCATTAAACTTCTTTCAAAACAACTATCAGTTTGAACAACAATTATTAATAACTAATAACGCAAGTTTTGCATCATCGATTGACAACACGTTGGTCAAATTTCTTTATAGTAATTAGAAGCCGAAAATTTCTTTAAGTTATACTATGACAATGTTTAAACTGCCTGAATGGTCGAGTAGGAGATCAGACGCTGTTGTAGCATTGTCGACACAGTCGACGAACAACTTTGACAACATTAACAAAGTAAGTCTGCTTGTTCTTCTATATCATATACGCTTACACTCAATAGCATACTGAAGAAAGGAGGATGTCTGCTGCAGAATCTTTACTTATGTTATCACCAAATGTCAGGCCGACGACAAGCTCTTCAAAATCGATGAGCCAATCTATTCCACAAGCAAATACAATGCATAAAGCCAGGTCAAATAGTATAATAGGTAGTCTACCACCTAGTCCACCATGGTCACCTGCGCCCGCAACCCCGATTGCATTCCCATCACCTAGAGTCATCCCATTAAGGAAGAGCAGCAGGGACAATTCTTCACCGGGATCATCACTAAATGATGATCCTCTCGACTTAGATGCTGATGCTCCTTTCGAGCTAGATCAAGTCGATGAAGAAGACGTTGACGAAGAAAAGGAGCAGGCAGAGTCACCTGTCGTATTCAATATGGACAGTTTTAAAGTCCCCGGTCATGCCCAACCAATGACGAAAACTTCTAGCAAAACTAGCAGTAGGTCTTCAAGTAGGGGTAGAAGATCATCGAAAGCACCCGATGATGAGAGGGGTAGATCCAGACATAAAAACTCATCAAAATCAAGAAGCTAGCATTAGGAGTTAACATGTTAAGCCTTTTAAAGCTTAACAAGGATTCAACACAAACCCTAATATCATCATCCGCCAAAATAGCATTGTTACATATTATACACACTTCAATGACGCATGTTTCGTTCAATTCAACTTGTAATGTATGCAATATATGAGAATGTATAAAGAAATAATAATATATGACAACAACAATATTGAATATAAATGCGACGTTATATTTATGCTAGTGACTTTTATTGTGCTACCACTGGTTCCCCAAAGCCTGTTGAGGGTGCTGAGCGATAAGGCATTCCGAAGTAATCCGCTGTTCTAGTGAAAACTGTATTACCCCACCAATCTATATTTATACCACCATCTTTTGGTAGTTGCAAGATGAGGAATACTAGAATTATACCAAGTGTTGTGCCTATTTTTTGTTATTTATAAATACTTCAAGATAATCACAAAACATACCTGAATCGAGTGCAGCTGAGAGAATGAAGTTGTATTTCGACCACCAAGCGAAATGAGTTCTTCTTACTAGATATTGGAAAATGAAGCCAATTCCAATCCAACTTGAATAATTTATACCAGTAGCTGGTGGAATATAAGTTGGGCCCGTTAATAAAACGGGCCAATTTAAGTTCCTCAGCCAAGACCTTGGTTTACGCTTGACATAGAAGTATACTGGAATTGGTAAGATTGCACCTGCAATCAGTGCATACACTTGATAATGGTATATACCATGTCTACCATATATCCTATCTGGTCCTATTATACCCCACAACACTGAACTTGTATAGTAAACCCTATTCTGAGGACACGTGAAGTTGGCAGATTGTCTGACACTACACATATCAGAAATTGAATTAAACATCCAATCCCTAATGCCAACTTGAATCAAAGCTGATATAATAGTAGCAGTGACTTGAACTGTGAAGGTAGCCCTTGGTGGTATTTTAATGTAATGCCCTAACTTTGCATCTTGAATGAATGATAACCCTTCAGACATCGTTTGAATTGAATAACATTTAAAAATCATGTTAGCTATTGGTTTACCCGGGAACAAATATCCTGGTATGACTTCACTGACCAAATTGATTGGTATCTCTTGTCCGGTCATCGCAAAAATAAATGAAGCTGGAAGAATATAAACCAAAGGAATTAGCAAGGCAACAAATATACCCCAAACTGGAATTTGTGCATCAAATCCAGTAACAGCTGCGATTGATAATGCCAAAAAGACAATCATATAACTGAGATACCACCAGTGAGGTACATCTGGATAACGCCTCATTAATTTTGCGTGTATATCATCCTCTTCGGTTTTAAAGTTACGCATACCATACCAAATTGATTTACCATGATATAATATAGTATGGACTAAGATTGCAGTAGCGACAGCATATCCAAGTAAATAAACCATTGAATAAGTAGCAGATAAATAAAGCGGACTATAATCTTCATAAGCTGTCGCGTTAAACTCGTTGTCTTCTGATAAAATCCTTGAAATATTATAAGCGTTTCCATATCGATCATAAGGAGATGAATCGGAAATTGGTAGATAATTAAAGAATTTCGCGTTAGTGTAATATAAAATTGGTACTACTAGCCAATATAATGCAAAAAATCCGATTGCTACATTACATTCGGCCCACCAAGGCATTACTAATGGTGAACCGATATAAGTAACTTGTGACCAATCAAAGGTCATTCCGCCCATACCTAAGCCAGTAAACACACCGAAAAGTTGATTAACTGTTGGTGAACGTGGCCAAATCCAACATATCCAACTGAACCAACTGAGCGCTTTAAATAAAAACCCAGGTACGAAATACCAAATTGCGGCAGAAACACCAGCAATGATAAAGAATTTAAATCTAGAAATTGAACCATCATTTTCATCATCTTCGGCATGAAGTGTGTTGAGTAAAGTACATACAACCAAACACTGCGGCCATAAAAGAGAAGCAGGCCAAACCTAGTGAGTAAGTAAAAATAGGAAGATGCTTTTGACTCAATTCACTTACAACGAATCGCCTACAGAAACCAGCTAATCCGAAGCCGATACATTGAGAACTGACGAATAATAAAATATCAAAACCAGCACCAAGTTTGTGACCGTAAAACATTTCAGTAACGACAGTTACATTCATTGCATAAGCGGGGCTTACACTAACGTTTGCCATAATTGTTATTAGCGTGTGTTCCTTAATATTGAATGGACCTGGATTCAAAGTGAACGATTTGCCGCCGAGCCAGCGTGGCATGGTATACAAATCCATAGGGAGGATGTAAGCTAAGAATTTACCAGCTGGATAGGTGATAAGTTGAATAACAATTGGAGTGATTGTTGGTGCAGGTAGTCTGAAATTGAAAACAGTGTTTACTGCAGCAGCAATGGCGCAGAAGATACCACCGATAAGCCAAACTCTGAGAGTTAAAGTAGGTATATCTGGGTCGTCTGTATTTGAAACGCTAGCTCTTACTTCGGGATAAGGGCTGTCTTCTTCGTACTCTAATTCGAGCTTATCAAGTGTCTGAGTAGGAGGGAATTGATGTGTAGGAGAATGTTGATAAAGGTCATCGCTATCTATATTTGACCACCTCTTTACACGATCTGCTGCGTATATAGGTTCTGATGAGGGTGGACGGAGAATATCGTCGTGTGGGCTTAGATACTTCTCATCGAAGTTACTAAGCGGGGGTTGGTTGATAGAGCTCGCTTCTGAGCTAGGGAATTGACCGCGGTTACCATTTGCCGTGGAAGGTGGACCGAATGCGAATACGTCTGCGTCTGAGGATTCATCATCATCGTCTGTATAACTATCAGCGTAGACATCCTCTGGTAAACCACCTTGTTCATTGATGGATGATCTGATAGATCTAGGTATATTACTATTCAAGCTACTGGACGATCTCGCTGTAAATGGTCTGCGTCGTGTAGACATCTCCTCGTCGTCAGTTACAGAGATTGGAATTTGAAGGGCAGTTAGGGACATTTCTCGCTATTTCATAAATAAATAAAATTACATTAATTTCGTACACAATGCCAGTATCTTTATTAACCTCTCTCTTGTCATCTCTTCCTTTACATTCAATCCCAATCCAACGACGCAGCTTGTGAACGGTAGAGATGGTGATACTTTACTCCCTTTCAAAAACAAGGTAGCTATAGTATTAGATACCAGCTGCTCCTGATTGCTATACTGTCCCAGTAGATTGAGCAAGTTGCTGTGTATTGATGGTTCGTAGTAGATATTCTCTATTAGTTCGTTACTCTCTTCCTTATCTGAAATATCAACCTGTATCAACGAGCTAACTCTGCCGATTTCCGTGATTATAACCATTAGTCTATCTTGATATATTTCCAAGCTAGCTTCCAATCCATCTTCTTGGATTGTTTTAGTTGAAGGAAATGCTTCTGACATTGTGCTATGTTCCACGTATTATCTGGTTGGTTGGTTGGTTGGTTGAAGGTTCTGACGCAAGTTCATCAATGTAAGGCTATCGTCACCCAATTAGTGTTCTCCACATAAGGTTTCACTTTCTGATAAAATCCGTTGACGACTTTAGTAAACTCCGCATCCGCGTATTAAAATTGAGTCAAAAAATTTTCACATTACCTTCTAAATACGGAAGGTATAAAAACAAATTAAACTAGATTCGATGTTTTCTTGATAAATAATCATCAAGTAAATTCTAATCTTTTAATTTTAAATATACAGAGCAGGTCTCAAGAAAACAATGCTTCTACGCTCTTTATTACTCTCAACTTTAGCTGGCCTATCATTTGCGGTACCTACACCACGGCAACAAGAGCTAGTGGATAAACACCTTCAAGATAAATTAACTCGTCAAACTCACATTGAAGGTCGCGATGAATGCACAATCTATGAACCCTACTGGGTCGGTGTTGAATGGCCCGAATTTGATGAATTTGATCCCTCACTGGCTGAGATATTCAGATATCGTCAACAACAATCAGTAAATTTGGGTAGTTGGTACGTCTTTTTGTTAAACAATTTGTTTCACTAACATGAAAAAGGTTCGTCGCTGAGAAATGGATGGTACCCTCCATCTTCAAATGTGCAGCTGGGCTGCAAGCTTCAGAATTGGATATTGCAAGAGGATGGAATGGTATGCAAAACGCTCGCCAAGTGCTCGAAAGACATTGGGATACTTTTATTACAGAGGATGATTTCAGATGGTTATCCGAAATTGGTATAAATACTGTAAGAATCCCAATTGGTGAGTTTATGCTTTGCTCTTCACTGTTATTCTAATTGATTTACCAAGGTTATTGGGGTGTTGGAAATCAATTCCTCTGGGGAACCGATTTTGATGGTCTGGGTGAGGTCTACGGTGGTCAATGGTCAAGAATTAGAAGAGCTATCCACTGGGCATCTCTTTATAACATTGGTGTACTTCTCGACCTTCACGGTGCACCAGGATCAGCAAACGGTCAACACATTTCAGGTACATCAGACACAAGAGTTGGTTTGTTCGCCGATGAGTTCAATCTTCAACGTACAGAAGATGTTCTCGTTTACCTCACCGAACAGCTCGCCTATGTTAATAACATGGTCGGTATACAACTCATCAATGAACCCCAATACGGCACTGAATGGCTTGAAGCAATTTACGATAGATGGTTGGGAGCCATGAGAGCTGTACCAGGCGCAGAAGACTTCCCATTATACATACACGACGCCTTTGATTTGGGCAGATACGCAGGTTATGTCGCAGGCAGATCCGATTTCGTTGTTGAAGATCATCACTCATACTTTGTTTACACAGATGAGGATGCTCACACTCCTGCTTGGTTACATGGTCAGCATGTCAACGGACCAGTAAGGATGGGTTTGGAGAAGGAATCAGCCGTCGCACGTCGCAACTTGGTCATAGGTGAATGGTCTTGCGCTCTCACCGCTGAGTCACTCGCAGGTGAAGATGATCCAGCCAACTCCCGCTGGTGGTTCTGCAGTTCTCAAGAAGCGGTCTATAGAAATGTCAGCGCTGGTTACTACTTCTGGTCATACAAGACTGAAGATTGTGACCAGAACCCTAACTGGTGTTTCCTCCGTTCAGTTGGAGATGCCTTACCTGCAACATTTTCAGCATTTGGTCCAGACAACCCACCACATATCAATGCGCAAGAAACGGATGAAATCAAACAGTTAGAGTTACCAGATATCGACACAATCCTTGGAGATTTGGCAGGTACCTTCTCCTCATGGTTTGGTTTGGGTGCGGCACCAGTCTACCGTCGTGATAGACCACACGAGCACGGTAATGGATATGGACACGATGATGATGATCACTTTGATGCATGGTACAAACACAACGGTGGTATCTGGCAAACTGAAGAAACTCAATTTGAAGATTTCAATCAAACCAAGTCAGCAGAAGAGGCAGATAGCGACAGTGCGCGTTTGGCCATCAACAATGGCGCATCTCAAGCAAAGCCAATGCTGAACAATATGATCGATCCTGCTACATTTATTGAGACATTGCAATCTACATCATCTTACGGAGCTGCTGCAAATAATGATCCTGCTATTATGTCAGAAGCTTCAGCTAGAGTTAGAGGCTATAGTGATGGTTTCGGTCTTGCCAGAAAATTTGCAGCTTTTAACCTCTCTAAAGTTGGATTCACCGGTCAATGGATTAGTTCAAATGTTAGACGTTTAATTGAAAACAATGAACTCTTGAATGAGAACATACAAACCTACTCTGATCATTTTGGACGCGGTTTACAAGACGCAGAAGCAGAAGTACTTAGTATGTTTTTTTAGTTTCGAATAATAAAACGGATTAGATTTACTTTTTTAATAAGAATTTTTTGTTATTTATTGTAAAACCCTTTTTAATACATACACATTCTTTTATTATCGTTAATGTCATCTTTTGATAAAGCTAGGAAATGGATGTGGGAAACAATTTTCACAAATAAAGGACTGGGTTTAGCATGCGCTGGTGTAATTGCACTAGAATCGATACTCACGCCTCTTATCGTCAAATATGTACCCTGTTAGTAGACAGTTTCAGAGTAGATCACTATTGATGAGGGAATAGATACAGAAATCGACTGGAAAGCGTATATGCAACAAGTTAAAATGTTCAGAGAGGGGAGTATCACTCATTACGATCAAATAGAAGGCGATACTGGTCCATTAGTGTTGGTATTCCAATCTCTTGTAAAGAAGCTAACCGAAATATTTTAGATATCCAGCAGCTCATGTATACTCCTATACAGCATTATACCACCTAACAAACGCTGGTACGGATATCGAACTAGCACAATACATATTCACTGGTATCTATCTTCTGACGCTAACCTTGATTTTGGGTATCTACTGCAAGACCGAAGCTGTAAGAATTATTAGTATACTTATCTCAATTTAACCTTCAATAGATACCTCCATACATATTACCTTTATTGGCACTATCTAAACGCTTACATAGTATCTACGTACTCAGATTATTCAATGACGGGATTGGAATGTGTATATTCTACGCTTCTTTGTTAGCTCTTATTTATAGAAGACATCTTCTATCCGCTGTACTTTTCAGTTTGGCAGTTGGAGTCAAAATGAACGTCTTACTATTCTTACCAGCATATGCACTGATATATACACTTCAAAGTGGCTTATTCGGTTGCCTCAGGCTGGGGATAAACATGCTTACTATCCAAGTACTGTTAGCGCGTCCATTTTTGCGTACAGATAGTAAAGCATACGTCAGTAGAGCATTCAATTTAGGACGTCAATTTCTGTTTAAATGGACTGTCAACTGGAGATTCATTAGGGAGGACATATTTTTTAGTAAAAGCTTTGCTTGGAGTTTGTTAGGTGTACACGCCGTATTACTCCTTTCGTTCGCTTTGTTTAAGTGGTTGCCTAGAGATGGCGTGACTGCTCTCGAAGTAATCAAACACACCCTTAAATACCCATCAAGGCGTCCTACTGCTCGACTCTTGAATGCAAAAGGTAATTTCAAATGCACCACGGAGATATTTGTTAACGAAATAACCAGAGATTAGTCAGATTGTTTTCACCTGTAATTTGATAGGAATCATCTGTGCAAGATCATTGCACTACCAATTCTATTCGTGGGGATTACCCGTTATAATATTGTCTCACTAATCCTAATTCAGGTGGTATGCGCACCAGATACCTTTTTTAGCATATACTACGCGATATCCGTTGGTTTTTAAGTGAGTGATATTAATATAACCTTTTTTTTTATTGATTTTCGCCCAAGGATAGCACTTTGTGTGGCAATTGAATATGCGTGGAATGTATTCCCATCTACGGATATCAGTAGCAGTGTATTACTCGCATCTAACGTGCTACTATTAGCTGGACAGGCGTACTCATAAGAATTTTGTAGTATACGTGCATTTTGTACATATTAGTAAATCTGTTATTCTAGCAATGCCAGAGATGAGCCAAAGGCGGCATACTGAGGGAGAGGTAATACGTAAGATATATATAAATGAAACACTGTGAATAATAATATTACAAGATAAATACATATCTCTCATTCTAAATTAACACAAGCTGAGCTTACGCGTCATCAAAGGCTTGATAGGTAACGACCATCATGACGGCGGCAACGACAGAAGTAAAGCCAGCTGGTGGCATACAGAATTATTATACGTCTAAGATTGAAGAAGCAGAATTAGCTATACATGCTCGTACGCAAAACCTTCGTAGATTGGAAGCACAACGAAATGCTTTGAATACCAAAGGTGAGTGTTACATTATCATATGTACTATTACTAAATGAACTTCTTAGTGCGGTTACTTAGAGAGGAATTACAATTACTTCAAGAACCAGGCAGTTACGTTGGTGAAGTCGTAAAAGTTATGGGCAAAACAAAAGTATTAGTTAAAGTACAACCAGAAGGTAAATTTATCGTAGATTTCGCACAAGATATCAAGATAGACGATTTGAAGCCTTCATTGAGAGTTGCACTTAGATCAGATTCCTACACCTTACACAAGATATTACCAAACAAAGTTGACCCACTCGTTAGTCTAATGATGGTTGAGAAAGTCCCTGATTCAACTTATGAGAACGTCGGTGGTTTGGACAAGCAAATTAAGGAAATTAAGGAAGTTATTGAATTACCAGTTAAACACCCAGAATTGTTCGAGAGTCTCGGTATTGCTCAACCTAAAGGTGTACTTTTATACGGTCCACCTGGTACAGGTAAAACGCTCTTGGCTAGAGCTGTAGCTCATCACACAGATTGCGCTTTCATTAGAGTGTCTGGTTCTGAGTTAGTACAAAAATATATTGGTGAGGGTTCAAGAATGGTTAGAGAACTTTTCGTTATGGCTAGAGATCATGCACCTTCAATTATTTTCATGGATGAAATTGATTCAATTGGTTCATCAAGAGGTGAATCAGGTTCAGGCGGTGGTGACTCTGAAGTACAAAGAACAATGTTAGAATTACTTAATCAATTGGATGGATTCGAATCATCAAAGAATATTAAAGTTATTATGGCAACTAACCGTATAGACATTTTGGATAGTGCATTATTAAGACCAGGTAGAATTGATAGGAAGATTGAATTCCCTCCTCCAGGTCCAGAAGCTAGAATTTCTATCCTTAAGATCCACTCAAGAAAGATGTCTTTACAGCGTGGAATTGACTTTAAATCACTCGCAGAGAAAATGGGTAACTGCTCTGGTGCAGAAGTTAAAGGTATCTGTACTGAAGCTGGTATGTATGCTTTGAGAGAACGCCGTCAACACGTCAGTAATGAAGACTTTGAATTGGCTGTTTCGAAGGTATTGAAGAGAGCTGCTGAAACTAACACATCTTCAAACAAGTTGTTCACTTAAGTTGTTTTGAAATAAATAAATAAATTTAAATTTTACTTTTGTTTGATCAGAGACGGTTATTTCGATGACGTCTCTTCCAAGTTTACTGTGATGAAATGAGCAATCCTGGTAGGCGAATGCGTGACAGTAGTTTATTAGCTAACACTTTATTAGAAGATTTAATAACGCTAGTCAAGTCACCAAGTGTTCAACGTCCTCAAATACCGAAATTACCCAGTGAATTACACCCATTACCACCGGATATATCAGCTTACTTTGTTTATCCACTTAGTTTAGAGCCATATGCATTAAATTTACTACCAAGTTTACGTCAGAAAGCTAACTTGGAACATCAAAAACATCTCAACTTTCTCAATGAACGTAAAGCAATGATTGAGAATAAAAAGAAAGCGGAAATGAATAGAGTAGCCCCTGGATGGAATGGTGCGTGGGATGCACTTGAACCAGCGTCTGTCGCATCCCCGACGATATCTACTAATCAAAATCAACATAATAGACAACCATCAATCGAAGAGGATTTGGTTAATGGATTAGAGAAGCTAGCTAGATGACCAACTTGTAATAAGAAAAGTTGTATTTATAAGTAAATGTAATTCTATACAAAGATAAGCTTATTCTACTTTTGGTTGTGGTGTTTCAGTTGCTTCTGGTGCTGGTGTTTCCGAAGGTTGAGCAGTTTGTTCAGCTGAAGACTCATCAGGTGTTTCAACAGGTTTTTCATGTCCTGGCCAGTGTTGTTGACCAGATTCTATTGCAGTCTTCATCTTCTCCTCTCTTTTCTTTTGAGCTTCAGCTTGCTTTCTACCTGCTTCGGAGACATCTTCACCGAACAATCTCAATGATAACGCACTTCTTTCTTTCTTATCAACCATCATACTAACACTTGTTTTACTCTTCCATAATGGGACGTAAACAGGTTGACTAAGTCCATTCTCACCATTATCAAGACTGAATTCAACGATGTGACTTCCAGATTTTACATTTTGAAGAATATCTCTAAGTTTTCCATCTTCACCACCTATTGAACTAATAACAGGGTGGTAATGTTCAACAAACGACCTGAGATCATCAGCTGTGCCGCTCAAAATTGATTCCTTTGGTAAATACTTCTTGACAAAGTTTACACTCTCGTTGGTTACTCTCCATTTGCATCTGTTTTCACCTTCTTTTTCCTCCTCAGCGTATGCTTTTTGATTGTCTTGCTTGACGAATAATTTGACACCACTGCTAATCAGCCTTAATCTGGTGTAATCACTGCTATGGAGAATGTTCCTAACTAAATTACTTGTGAGATAGATAGTTCTTCCAGCTTGTTGGTTCGGATTTCTAACTAATAAGTTATGCTTTGGGAAGCTTTCGTGGAATTTATAGTAATCGACCATTCCCTTTACTTCATCGTCATTCTCTTCCATGTAGCTGAAAGGATCCTCTCTGAATGTGCTATCTGGCTTTACTTTACCTTTCTCAGCAGTTGGTTCATCTTTCTTGACACGCTTTTGTGGACGTTCTGATTGAGCTGATGGACTAACTGGACGCTTTACCTGTCCTTCAGTTGTTTCAGTTTCAATTTCAGTTTCAGTTGGTTTAGTTTCTTTAACTACTTCTTCTGTGGCTTTCTTTTCGAGTACAGCAATGAAGAATGATCCTGTATCTTGTTGATGAGAGTACACACGCAAGCTTTGATAATTGTTAGTAATAATTAACCTAAATAATCATTACTAACCATCTTTCTAAATTCAAAGCATCAGCATCTTCCTTTGTAGGTGGCCACATTGATTTTGGAAGCTTATCTTGGATTCTGCTACGCTCTCTTTCATCAGTAGCAGCAGCCAAAAGAGCTTCTCTGTCACCAAATTCGATGGCATCTCTAGAGGTATTTACTTTCCAATCTTTGATACCTTCTTTACGCTTAAGTTGTGGTAATTCTTGTGCGGCATCAACAAGAGTCATATCTGGGTTCTCCTTTAATGCTGTTGCGATAACAGCTTCATTCTCAATTGGGTTCATTGAGCAGGTACTGTAAACTAATCTACCACCAGGTTTGAGAATTTGAATACCACGGTTGAGAATACGAAGTTGAAGACTACAACATATTGGGTTAGTTGTAATCATAAGAAAGTACCACACACTCACCTGTGCAAACCATTTCCGTTATTTGCTGTCCAATGTGACCAAATTTCGAGATTCTTACGGACTGTACCATCACCAGTACATGGAACATCACAAAGGACTCTATCGAAAAGGAATTTCTTTCTAGAACCTGTAGTTTCATCCGTTGCGTAGATATTTGGGAAACTAGTAGCATCCGTGTTAGTAACCATAATGTTAGGTGATGGAAGACGTGACGTTTGGTGAACAAGTACTAGTAAGAATGTCTAAGTATCATTGAAAGCATAAAGCAACTACTCACAGTATGCTCTCTTGTTATCACTGTCGTTTGCTACTACAAGGCCAGTTGGCTCCTTCGCTGGGTCAGCGTGGAGGGCTTCTAAAAGTTGAGCTGTTTTAGAACCAGGAGCAGCACACATGTCAACAGCCTTGATGTAAATCAGTGAAAATTCTCCGATAAACTGATAAACTTACAGAATGATGTGGTTCAAGCTTTAAAAGAAGAGGTGGAATCATAGAGACAGCTTCTTGACGGCTGATATTACCCGCTTCATTTTCATAAACTAAGAAATTCTGGAATCTCTTAAACTCAGGACTCTTTCTGATTTGAGTTTTTGTGAGGTTCAATTGCCAAGCTAAACCATCAGGGTACCTTGGCGTCGATTAAGCGACAACTCAATAGATAAATTAGACACCCACCATTCAAGTTGTCTTGGTGGTGCTAATTGAACACCATCAAGTTTAGCCTCACTAAGTATAGGAATGTATGTCTTCTTAATGTGTTCATTAAGATCTTTAGCCGTAGATTTATTACCTGTAATCCTAAATGATGTTGGTAGCAATTCCTTTGCAAATTTCATGAATTCATCCCATTCTTCTGGACTGAGTATGTTTTGAGCCTATATACATGAAATATAAGTGAACGCATATTGTATTAATGTATAAAGTACCTTATAGTAAGCTTCAAAGTTTTGATTAGCTGGTGTATGTTCTTGCCATGCAGGTCTTCTCTCATAATTTGATTTATCATTCTTTCTACAACCTTTTTTGAAAGCTTTCTTTGGTGGCATATTGAAATATTCTTTAAAATATCGTTTAAAGATGATTGTTTTAGAAGAAGAGAAGATTATCAACGACGACGATGAGCTTACACTCATTCGCAGGAAAGTGGTCTACTATTAAACCACGTTTGAGTGAATGGATTGAAGAATATTTATTAAACATTGGTTATACAGAAATGACTCCTGTACAAGCCTCAACTATACCTCTATTTAGAGCAAATAAGGATGTCGTAGTTGAAGCCGTTACGGGTAGTGGAAAAACATTAGCATTCTTAATACCAATTTTAGAAAAGTTAACAAATTATTCAAATTCATTAAAGAAAGGTGATGTTTTCGCTTTAATCGTCGCACCTACACGTGAATTAGCTATACAAACGCATAGTCAACTAAATGATATTATAACTGCATCACCTGTTGATTTACCACCACCACTTTTATTAGTTTCTGATCAAGATTCAACAACAACAGATGATCGTCGTCGATTTGAACAACAAGGTTCACAAATACTGGTTGGTACACCTGGAAGAGTCGATGAATTCATTGGTGGTAATAAAGGTGTAAAAGGTAAAGGTAAAGGTAGTGGAAGGTACACAAACTTCGAAATGTTAGTCCTTGATGAAGCCGATAGATTGTTAGATTTAGGCTTTTTGCCAACTTTAAGGAGTATAGTTTCGCATCTTCCTAAACAACGTCGCACTGGTTTATTTAGTGCAACTATGACTGACCAAGTTGGAAACTTGGTAGCAATCGGGTTGAGAAATCCTGCGAAAGTTGTCGTAAAAGTTACAAGTAAATCATCGAAGTCCGAAATAGAAGAGAGAAGAACACCAGCTGGTTTAAACAACACCTATACGGTGGTTAAACAACAAGATAAACTAGCAAAACTACTTAAATTACTACAAAATGAAGTAGAGGAGGGAAAGCAAAAGATAATTGTTTACTTCCCAACATGCGCAAGTGTTGATTACATCTGGCAGGTGAGTTATACTATTTTAAGTTGTAGAACAAACGCTCAAAACAAGTTTTAGGTTATTAACAAATTACCAAAGAAGTACCTTCCACCGTCATCAACAACTATACATAGTCTTCATGGTCACATCCCTCCTCCTAAACGTACAACTGCTCTATCATCATTCACAAATTCACCATCAGCAGTCTTGCTCTGTACAGATGTCGCCGCTCGTGGTATTGATCTTCCAGATGTAGATGCAGTTGTTCAATGGGAAGCACCAACTGATTCACGTTCATTCAGTCATAGAGTTGGTAGAACGGCAAGAGCAGGTAATAGCGGTAAAGCTATCCTCTTCCTTTCTCAAGGCTCTGAAGAAGGTTATGCTGAATTCTTAAGGGGTAGAAAGATACCACTCGCACCTCACAGACCAATTGAAGATGCAGCAGATTCTAAAGAATTGTTAGAAATCATGAGAAAGATCCTCCTCAAGGATAGAAGCCTTCATGACGCCTCAATTAAAGCCCTTACATCAACAGTTAGGAGTTATTCTAAACATGAGCAAGTATATCTCTTTAGAACGTATGAACTTGATATCCCCGGATTGGCTACCTCATTTGGCCTATTGAGAATGCCAAAAATGCCAGAACTCAAAGGCAAGGAAATTGATGAAAAGGATTGGCAGGATGCTGAAGTTGATGTGAGTTGTACATTACTTTCATTGAAAACTAGCTTATTCAACTCAAGTGGGACACTTACGCTTACGCTAATGCATCACAAGAAGCATCTCGTCAGAAAAAACTCAAAGAAGCACCAAAACGTGAAATCAAACCAAAGAAGGAGAAGGAAGCAGCTTGGTCAAACAAGAAAGATAGACACGATAAACGTATAACACAAAAAGAGAAAAAGGAAGCAAAGCGTAAATTTGAAAAGGCAGAAAGAGCACGTTTGAGGGAAGAAGAAGAAGGTAATAGCGAGGAGGAAGAGGAAGACTGGAAAGCCCACGTATTGGAAACCCGTGAGGCTAAAAAACGCCGCAAAGAGGAGAAGAACAAAGGTAGCGACGAAGATGAAATGGATCCAGGAACTACTTTTGCATTTGATGATTTGTAATTCTATTTTAATTTATTTAATCCGTTATGTACAAAACACTCTAATTCGACGAAAGCGTTGTAACCAAATTTTGCCAGAAGTCCATTTCTGGATCATTGGCATTATCCTCTGAAATACCAACACCTGGTGGAGTTGTAGTCGTTAGTGAGTTAACATCTAACCATTGGTTAAGCAAAGCTTGAGCGTGTTCACCAAGTAAATCCATTTCATTATTTGATGAATTATTAGTGTTATTAATATTGTGTATACCTTCTGTCATTCTATTATATTCGGCCGTAGGTATACTAGAAGCGACTGTTGTGTCTTGACCACGTTGTTGTGGAGGTACAGCAGCTGGTGGTGGAACAATTGAGGGGAAATTTTGGGCACCAAGCGGGAATGAAGGGTTGAGTGATGCAGCCGGATCATTATCCAATTCTGTTTTAACCGGTTCTGCAGTTGGTTCATGTCGTATAGAATTAGTTGTAGTATCATCAACAGCTGCTTCACTATAACGTCTCTTTTTCGAATTTGCGTTATTACTAACCTCAGTTGCACCTCTCTTGAATAATTCTAAAACTGCTAATTCTCTAACTGTAGCTTCATCAACTCCAGTAGTATGCTCATCAAGGAATTTTCTCAATTCATCAGCTTCTGATCCTGTTGGTGTTAAAACCAATGCTATACCAAGTATCATCAAACTTGTCATTATTCTGTAACTACCTGCAGATAATTTATTCGGACGCGTGACAGCTCTAGCTTGGTATTGCTTCCTTGCAACTAAATCTGCTTTAGCTGATTCTATTGCTGCTATTCTTGAAGGTTGATACTTGGTTGATTGCGATTTACCTAAAATCAAATAAGGACGATGTAAAGTAATTCTAACAAAGTAAAACTCCGTAGAAAGGAAGTATCGATGTGTTGAGAGGTATGTCAAGTATGGATCATGCCTAAGATCTGGATTATCGAGTTGGAAACATGGTGGAAGCGATTCCTTAAATTGTATTAATTCTTGATCGAGTTGAAGTATAACATGGTATGGTGGTGGTCTAATCCCGAATGCAGCTGTTTGAATATGTCCCATAAGTTTAGCAAGTGAATGACGAAGGATTGTATATGACTGATCTTTGAGTGAGATGATCATCAAACAAAAGCGTCACTTACCATGATCGTTGGTACTTCCATAGGTTCTATAGTAAGCTTTCCGGCATTCAAAGCCTCATCGCTTATATTTGATGGTGGTTTGGTATCACAATCGGCATCGTTGATCGCTAATGGTCTACCCAAGAGGAGTGATGACATACGATCTTGATGATAAATATACGTCCACACCTTCCGCCTCAATTCTTGATCGAGTACATCGTTGATTTTGAGTGCTGCAGGATCTCGATGTAGACCGAGTGCCTGGGCGGTGTGTATAGCAGCGCCGAGTCTTATTATTAATTAGTTGATATTATCTAAAGAGGAATTATTACCTACGGCACAAATCCTTCTGAAGCTCTTCTAACAAGAATGAGGTACCTCGCAGTAAGTAAGCCACAGAGTACGCTATCGAGGTCATCATCTTGCATCGCGCCTGCTAGGTTCGCAGACCTCCTTGACGAACCGTAAAGTGATTCATGAAGTTTTTTCCTTGAGTTTGCATCACCCACGAGGTCATCGGGTGCAGTGAGGGTAGCTATAGCAAGTGTGATGAACAAGAGTGGAATAAACCTAATCATAGGTGGTGTAACATTGTAAATACCACTAGGAAGAGCTTCGTGAAGGCTGTCATATGATAGATAAAACCTCGGGGAAAAGAGGGGATAGCGCCAATCAATTTCGTTAAAATAGACACTGAGTAAACCATCCTGTAATTCCTTTCTTGGTAAATTAGTTATCACACTCTCTAGATCAGACATTGTAATACCAGAAGTTGATAATAATCTTTTAACTTTGTCAATGTTTGATTCTGCACCGGCGGGGTCAGGTGGTGTTTGTACGATATTGTTGAAAGTTGGTACATTGAATGTAGATTCACTTACGCTGGACATTGCACTACTACCGAAGAATCTACCTTTGTCCAATCTGCCTTGATCTTCAGGGATGACTTCATTTGAAGTACTAGGAATTGGCTGGTTGAGATGGCTAGACAATAGATGACTGAGATCCTCGACAGTTCGCGTGAGTTTATCTAAGCGTGCTTTAACGTCGACGTCGTTCTCGTACGGGTCATGTACACCGTCTATGAACTGGCGACAAAGATGAGGGATGCGTCTGGCTACACATTGATCACAAGGCTGTTGTCTATTGCATTTCTGCTTCCTTCTATGACATTCATAACAGCTAAAGTGTACTCTCTTCCTTTGAGGTTTGGATGCCATCTTGGTGGTTATAATGATAGATAGAAGAATTCATAACTTTTTTATTTCATTAAGTAGTTCATACAATTGACTAACTTGTTCGTGTGATAACTTTGTCAGCAAGTCATCCAAGTTCATCTTCTGCTTCATAGATGGATTCTGCATTTGATCGAGGTAGATCTTCCAACTAGAGAGGAATCCAATGATCTGCAATGGGTTGTCTATATTTCTAACTTTTCTTAGATATCTCTATAGTCTATAGATATAGGACTCACTGGTGTCTTCTAAACTCATCGCGGAGATATCCGTCACCCATCAATCTAAAATCTTTTGGCAGTGTTCTATGTATTCTAAGTAACCTTCTATATAACTTTATAGGTGGTAACAACTCTTTTACGTATTGAGTTGCCATAGTAACTTTGTAGTTTAAATTTAACGATAATAAAGATAATTATCACAAACAAAAGATCAGAATTTGTATAAAATAGAAATTTATATTAGTTTTATGACGTTTTATTGTCTAATTAAGGCTCGATGTTGCTTGGGAAGTTACCCTCTATTTTTTATGGTTAGAAGAGTAATTTTTATATTAAATTATATATTTACCATCAATCTGTTCATTCTGTTGTACTATTAGCTTTATTCTTCAATCATGTAAATAACTACTCACCCATTTGTCAGTCCAGGTGTTAGGGCAGATTGACTTGTATGTTCTATGGAATGCTTTGCATGGTGCGTAATCATCACCCTTAGCTTTTATGCACTTGTGGTAGTCAACGAAAGATTGCCAGCAGTGCTTGGTTTGATTAGTGTTTGGGAATCTGTTAAGTTGTGAGTAAAAAAGATATCAGAGTGTATATACTCACCTAACATCAAATCCAGCTGTATAGATATAAGTACAACTGTCTTCTATATTGCAGTCTGCTAGTAAACTCACCAGTTTGTAAAACGTATTTGCTAATGAAGAGCTTGTTAGTTAGTATTCAAAAATTATTTTAAACTCACTTATCAGTATCACTCATTATTGATCGATGTTGGTAATCAAGCCGGAAATAATCCTTTTTAAAAACCATTATGGAAGCATTAAAGCAGGAATTAGCAAGAAAGCGTAAGGAAAATGATAGCAATCTAAAAGATAATCCAACAAAGTATCTTAAAAAGTCTCAACTCGACTCACTCACGCCCGAGCCAATTCAAACTCAACCACAGGAGGATACTATCAACAAAGAAGAAGAACCAGAAGCAGAAGAAGAAACAAACATTACAGACAATGATACGAAAGACTTCTCTATATCAAATGATGAATGTATTCGTAGACTTCGTTTGAAGTCAGAACCTATACGTCTCTTCGCGGAATCTGACAGAGAAAGAAGGCTACGTTTACGCGCTTTAGAGTTGTTAGCCTCCTCTGGTAACTCAAAAGGTCAAGAGAATGACCTTCGTAAGGCGTTGGAAGGTGTTGGTCAAGCTGAACTTGAACAACAAAGTAAGAACGCCTCAACGGCAGTCAATGCAAAAATCTATGATCAATCAGAAGTTGAAATCACTTGGAAAATGGTCAAAGTTGATAATGATAAACTCTACGCCACGATATACAAATGGATGAAAAATATGCTCAGACTTTGGGAAAACACGCTCTCACAACGTCCAGATGACGTTAGAAGGTCCAAACAAGGTCAATTAGCAGCTGCAAATCAAGTTCAAACTGCAAACTACTTAAAACCTCTCTTTAAAGCACTGAAAAGTAAAACTATCCAGATGGATGTTTTGACACTACTAGGTGAGATTATATTATACGCTCAAGAACGTAAATATCAAAATGCAAATGATGCCTACTTGAGACTTTCAATTGGTAACTCGCCTTGGCCAATTGGTGTAACAATGGTTGGTATACATGATAGAAGTGCACGCGAAAAAATCAGTAGTGGATCCGTCGCTCATGTACTAAATGATGAAGTCTCACGAAAGTATATCCAATCCGTAAAGAGAGTTTTAACATTCGCACAATCACAATTTCCACCTGAAGATGTTTCACAAATGGTCGGTTAAATTTCTGTAAAAAGAGAATAGAAATGTATTTTTAGCAACTAAGCGCACAATAAGTAGAATTTATTTATTTTTTCATTCTGCGCATTAATATATTGATAACGTATTAATTGTCCCAATCTAGCTGTTTACTCATCATCATCTTCACCTTCAACTTCAAGTCCTGCATTAGCGAAGCTGAATTTGTTGTCGTGATTTCTGACTTTCTTCTTTTCTGGTTGAGCGACAGAAGATGGTTTACCAGTAGCAGTTGGTGCTTTACTCCGTTCAAGCAAACTTTGCTCTCTTGTTGCTGTGTCTACAGGTCTTGCACCACCGAATGGAGATGGCTTACTTGGAGCCGATTGGTTTGAGCTTGCTCCTTGTGTGCTACCTCTTGGAGCGAGTTGTAATTTTCTACGCTCACCAGGAGCAGCTGATTGAGCAGCTGGAGCAGGACGAGCTGATCTCCAGTTGCTAACATCATCTGTGCCAGATTGTGAAACTGGAGGAGAAGATTTAAAGTTTGAACCTCTTGTCCACTCCTTGTTGTCAACGTCTACTGGTGCACCACCCTTAAAACCGAAACCTCTCTCTGAGCGTGGTGGAGCGACAGGGCGCGCTGTACCTCTCCAATTAACGTTGTCATCCGCATCTGTGTTGACTGGTTCAAGGTCGGCTGCTGGACGTGATGATCTCCAAGCATCCTTATCGTCTACGAATGAACCACCAAATCCACCCTTCTTTGGTGGCTCGGCTACGGTGACTCTAACAGGTCTGGCTGCTAATTGTTGTCCTGTCTTTCCAAGTGCAGCTTTTAAGTCGTCAAGTGAGTCAAATTCAGCGTAACCGAAACCTTTAGGACGATCTGAGATGTCCTTTACGATTCTAACTGAAGTAACGTTTAATTCGCCAAAGAATGATTCAATTTCTTCCTCTAAAATGCTGTGGTTGAGATTTCCTAAGAAAGCAGTGAATGGTGGTGCAGTTGGGAGTGGCACAACTGGACGATCGCGAGTGTCAGCGCCAAAAGGACGTCCAACGTCAGCTGAACCATCTAATCTACCACCGAATTCATCACGTGCTGCTGCTGTACTTTCTGTAAGAGAAGGAAGAAGACTAATGAAGATTTAAACGCACGGGCAGTTGGGAGATCTTCAACAACATCATCATCAGCCCAGGAACCGCCTGGTGTAGCAACTTCTGTTTATTTCGTTAGTATATAGAGACTAAGGTGATATTCTCTTAAATATACTAACCTGGAGTTGCGATGAAGTCGTTCAAGGACATTTTAACCTTCTGGTTCTTCTTTGGTGCTATAGATTTCATTTAATGTACTAATATACACTGTCTGTGCTCCTCACCCATTTTATTATCACTAGTAGTTTGACAAGATTGCGCTAAATTCTCAGAGATGGCTTTATTTTAATATTAAAAAATTGTTTACAATATAAATAGTTGTCATTATACACTTCTAGTTTGATTTATAGTCCTCTCATCTTTCCTCAGTTTGGCAGCTCCTCATTTTAGACTTAGCTAGGATTCTCAACTATAGCAGTCTTTAGAGTAGAGCGGTAGTAAGTGAGATAATTATAATAAAACACTACTTTATTTTATATAAATATATCTAAATTCTTTAATAAAATTTGACGAACTCAGATTGCAAATTTCTGACGCTCACTGCTTTCTAGCGTAACACCAAAAGTGAGTAATTTCTAAGAAGGGGAATGGGTAGTTAATAGCTATCATTCACATTTTATTGCGTTTAAGTTTATTTATCTGCCTTATTTCTTCCCTTCCCTGCATTTTTATCAGTTTCTAACATATTTCTAGTGGGTAAGGTCCACGGTTCATTGGCACGTGCTGGTAAGGTCAGATCACAAGCACCAAAGTGAGTATTCATATCCTCTCATTTACCCTCTCTAACATCTTTCTAGAGTTGAAGCCCAAGAGAAGAAGAAGGTAGGATTTTTTGATCAGCCCTATGGTCTTAGCATTTCTAACAGCTATATAGGTTCCAAAGGGCCGCGCTCACAAGCGTATCCTCTACAACCGTCGCTTCGTCAACGTTACACTCATGCCAAACGGCAAGCGTCGCATGAACGCCAACCCAGAGAAGTAAACTCGAAATATCAAGGAAATTGTTATGATTTAATCAATTATCGAGTTACATTTGGCTTTATTTACTTTCTAGATGGCAAATTTTTCATCCTCTATTGATTTTATTATTTGAGTATCTGGTACCAAATTTTGACGGGCGTATCTACCATTGTCGAGGTCATTATTTTCCGCTCTATCGTAAGCTTCCTGCGAGTCTTTACAGATTCCAGATTCGACATGTCTCTTGATGAGTCTCTGCCTTGTCGTCTCTTCGTCAATATCAACCCAGATTTTCTTATCCAGATTATTGGCTGCCTTCATCCATCTTTCCTCGTTTAAAAGTACGTAATTTCCTTCAATGATTACTACTTTTACGCTAGTATCTACTTGAGTACCACTTGGTGTAGGATCTTTAAGTGAGTGCGAGAAAGTCGGCGCTTCAAGTGCCACTCTTGGTTCTAATTTCAGTGATTGTACAAATTCCGTATATGCTTCTGCGTCGAATGTGTGAGGTGCACCCTAAATAAGACTTGTTAGCTGAAACTTGGGTATGATTCTACCAACTAACGCGTCTAGCGAATGCAGCTGTTGGATCCTAACATTTTTGTTAACTCATTGTGAATAAAACAGTCCAACTAACCGGAAATTTAGATAATTGCTATTGAACGTCAGCTAAGAATCGATAAGCATCTGACATACATCTCTAGTGTAGTGCCATCCATCCATACTAATAGCTACAGCTTTAATTGAGCTGTGAGTGAATTTGTCCGTAAGATGTTTTGTGAATGCTGTACATAATAAGTTGATGATCTGAGTGTCCTACTAAACCTACAGCTCTTTCCAGATCCAGGAAAGCCTCCGATGCCAACGAGATATCTCTGGTCTTCTGGTAATGCGCTTATCTCGCTCTTGATTTCTTCGAATATGCTATTTGTGACAGTGTCCATGATAGATCTGAGGAGAGATGTAGAGATGGTTTGTAAAACTACTTATAAAACTCTTATCCTATATCTGTATTTATAGCAAACTTCTTTACACTTAACCATCATCTTTTTAGAATGAATCAGCTTGGAATACCGTATAAACATGCTAAAGATATATCCAAAGATATTGTTCAATCATTCAATAACTATCTTAATAGCAAGAGCATCGCACCAGAACAATTCGAAGGCGATATAAACCGTTGGACCCATTTAAGGCGTCAATCTATGATAACACACGATACCAGCACATTTATGGAGTAAGTTATCTGCTTTGTGATATAAATCTTAGTAATATGGCGTAGATATTATAATCAAATTAATCATCTCTTAACTAAATTACCACAAGACATAGATCTTAACTTTGAATTCTCAACCCCTTTTCCAGATAGTTCAGCATTCAGCGTGGCCGAGAATTACGCGCAATCTGATATAAATTACGAGAAATGTGCTTTACTGTTTAACATTGCTGCTTGGTATTCCCAAAAGGCCACACATCAGTCACGTAACAGTACTGAAAGTATCAAAGGCGCTCTTCAGGATTTACAGGTAGGTTTATATATAGTCAACTATTATCCGCATAAACTCAATTCAATAGTTATCTTCAGGTGTCTTTGACTTGCTTATCGAAAACTTATCATCATTGAAAACGCCCACAACAACACCTGATTTATCCCCTAATTATTTAAAAGTACTAAGTATACTTATGTTGGCTCAAGCACAAGAGTGTTATTGGCAGAAGGCTGTCCTGGATAATCTCAAAAATGGCACTATTGCAAAGGTCTCTTTAGGTGTGAGTTTATCTTGACATTATGACATCAACGTTAAGATAATCAAATAGGTATCCAATCTATACGAAGAGGCTTGCCAATTGGCACTACATTCTACACCTACTCCAGCAGACGCGCTTCCTTCCGTGAGTATTCCGTCATTCTTTTAATGTACACTAACAACAAACTCAAGATATGGATTTCACATATACAAGTCAAAGCCCATCATTTCGCAGCTGCAGCTCAGTATAGAAAAAGTCTGGATGACCTGAGTTCAAGCAGGTAAGTGAGAATAAACAACTACTATTTCTTGTATCTGACGCTCCGCCGAAGATATGGTGAAGAGTTATCGAGACTTAATCTGGCAGCTGAATTAGTCAAGAAAGCGATGGAATTTTCTAAACGCAATAAAGTCTTTGACGCAGTTAGAGATGATTTGAAGGTTCGTTGTAATTCGTAAGTAAGACATGCTTAATGTATCATAACAGGGTTTACAAGATACTCTTACCGAGAACATCTCGCGTGCGACGAGGGATAATGACTTGATTTATCTTCACGATGTACCACATCCTAAAGCTTTACCAGTAATCCAACCAGCAAGGATGGTAAAGGGCGTTATACCAACTGACTTAACAAATGGTGCTATACCTAAAGATGCTTTGTTATTCTCTGCACTGACACCATTTGCTGTTGATCACGCTTGCGACTTATGGTCGAATCGCAAAAACTATAGAGTAAGAGAATTTGAACAAAGATGCGCTCAACTGGATAAGTTGCAAGCTGAAGCCTTACATGCACTTGGACTACCAGGATCTTTGCAAGCCGTTGATAGAACTTCAGAAATACCACCAAGTTTACTTAAAAAGATTGAAGAGCTGCAAAATGATGGTGGTTTAGAGATGCTCGAGAAATTATCTGATGAGGTGCAATTGTTGGCTTTCAGTAATGAGAACGTTATTGACGAGGTAAGAACTCTTACTTATATGCTTACGATATCTAACATTTACTTTACAAGACAATTGACATCCTCAACCAAGAGCAAGATGAGGATGAAGAAGTTCGTACACAGCAACCGCAACTCGTTGTACCACCTTCATCCACTGCCAACACTCCATTTTTACAAGAAGTTAGGCAGTTACAACAAACCCTTGAGGCTGCTTCACGCTCTGATGGAATTGTTCAAGAAAAAATTTCTGCATCAAAACATGATTTGGAATTACTTTCTTCAGATGTTGATTACATCAAGACGATATTACCTAAAGGTCAGTCTACTCACTCAATCAATGATGAAAATACACGTAAACTTCGTGGTGCTTTAGAGCAACTAGATGATGTCGTTGATGATAGAAGAGTGATTGTACAGGATGTGAGGAGTATAGTGAAGAGAGACAATATTAGACCAAAGATTATTAAGGTATTTCAAGAACAGCAGGAAGACAAAGTTGATATGGGCGTATTCGATGGTCTTTACGAATCCGAGATGCTAAAGTATGATCAGATTTACCAGGAGTTTGAAAGTAATAGCAATAATCAAGAGAGCTTGCTGAGTACAATTCGACAACTCTATAACGCGTTTGAAAAGCGTAAAGAGACTGATAAAGGATATATAGCACGACAAGAGAAATTACAAGCACTAGATTTGGCTTATTATACCTACATTGAGATTAAGAATAACCTCAGTGAGGGTCTACAGTTTTATAATGATTTCAGCAAGCTCGCTCATGAATTGAAAGGGAGTGTAGAGAACTTCCTCCATCAACGAAGGATTGAAAAGCAAGTCGCGCTTGAAAAGCTATCCAAACATATAGAAAGTCTCACATTGGAAGAGAGTAGAGAGAGTATTACCAACTCACCACTAAAAACTTTCGCAAGGATACCCGAATCGGGAACTAGTCATCAATTTGGTGCATGGGACGAATCAAAGCCTATCAGATTTGGTTGATTGTTCCATTATATGCATAATACAGTTTTACAATGTTACTCTTCCTTGCTTTTTGGTATATTTTTATCTTGATTTGACAAGTAAATGTGCACATAAACTGCTTTAAAGGTATAAGCGAAACAGAGTATCAAAATCACGATTGATCGTGCTTCAATCTGCGTATGTGTGGGTGTGTTGGAAACAATATCATATTCCGAGTGTGAGTGTGCTAATACCCCATAAACGAGGGTAGAAAGTGTAGCTATCCAAAGTTCCAATGTACCTATCAATCCAGCACCTCTAGTAAGTGGGTATGGCGTGCTTAACCTCCAACCATATGGACTTGTGACGTTTAACGTGCTTGCAGTCAAAGAACCAGCACTAGGCGCGAGTGTACCAACTACAAATTGAGCAAACAACGAATTCTTATATTCTGAATGTTGAATGCAGGTGTTTATAGCTCCCGTGAGTGCTCCACTTCTCAAAAAAGCATCCAGAAGAGGTAAACTCAAATCGAGCACTTTCGCGGAAGGAGTAGGAAGTGCGCGTAAAAATAGATGAACTGTAACATAGTTCACGAGTGGCCATACTGACAGCAGTTGTGGGTATGGCTGTTGAAGGATACTACTGATTACTATTGACCCTGACCAGGCCATTACTAAATATCCTACAAGATCCGCTGCAAAATTAAGTCTTTTCGCATTATTAGATTCCGCTTCCACTTTAGATTTTGCTTGGAAGGCTAAACTTATCCTAGCTGCATCTGCATATCTTCTATAAGTCTTTATGAGTCATTTACGGAGAATAACTCACGCAATGTAGTCATCCATGGGAAAGGGTAAAATGTCTCATGCACTGGCTGTAAGCTCTGCTCGATAGCTATCGATAATGCACTCAGTAAAGATGAAGTCATCGAATAAGAATAAATATTCTGATACAAGTGTTGCTTTCTAGCTGAATAAGATTTCATTTGACTTGTCTATTGTACGCTTAGCACCTGGAGTAGCTTTTGGAGGGTATGGGAAGGCCTCCAAACCGAGGAGTTGACGTGATGGACCTGCCTCTATGTCTTCTGCTTTTTGTCTACCAATGAATTGTGACTCTCCTTCTCCACCTGGGAAATCGGAAGGTGGTAAACCCTGTTTGAATCGACTAACTTGATCCCTAAGGTAATGAGCGTTGTTGACTGTCAGAGGGATCGCTGGTATGTAGAGTACACTTGAGTCACCTTTACCTTGATGCTCTGATTCGACAGCATGTACAACGTCGCTGTGCCCTTTTGAAATATGTCAGCGTTTCAAACAAATAAGACAATCGCTTACAATAGACTTGATCACCTGGTGAAAGACGTGGAGCAGATACCATGGTTTTGTCAAGTTGTAAATGAGGGTGAGTATGTATATTTAACTCCTGTGCTATGAAAATTTTATTAGCATCTGTCAATTCAATATAAATCACACTCACTTCTACCTTGCGAGCTTCCTGGAAAGTCTGTACTATCAAGATTGAGCTTCCAATCATTGAAGTCAAGGTGTTCAGGACCTCTGACAGGTGAGAAGAAGGGTCTCAGAATTATATAAGCTGTTGCAAGCTTGAGGTCAATTGGGAGTACTCTCAAAGTACCTTCATGAGGTCCCACTTCACTCATACTGGTCCAGCCTATTTCTTTTTAGCATAGTTATAGATAAAGGGCATTTCGTTTACCTTGGAATGGTCTAAAGACAGAGCATCCACCTGCAGCACCATACAAATCAAATTGCGCATTAAGACGTGGAGATACATCGAATGGGTTATGTTCTTTCCAGTTACCATTCAAAATGTGCTCCCAACAGCTTCTATATCCTGGGTCTTCCCAACGCTCTAGGGATCCACCATCCTTTGTCTATGTTAACATGAATTCACTGATGGTTGATTACCTACAATGTGAGGCCCAAGTGCAAATTGCGCATCTCCAGGCTTACGTATACGTAGTCTATCATAGTAAGAAATAAGGCTACCAAGACTTATCTCTGACTGAGGGTCGCTAACGTGAAGAAGATCAAGTAAAAATTGCTGAGTGTCTCTCAATGCAGGGTGACATCTCGCTTGGGTTTGTGCGACAGTATGATAGAATTCAAAAACTTGTACATCATCTGCCGGAAAACCTTTAACTTTATCCTTGTTAGCAGACGCATAGTCACGTATAGATTGTTTCCATTTTAGTGCTTCTGTCTTGGTGACACCACCTTCTACTACGACAGAACCAACTTTTTTGATACGCTCGACGATATCTTTTTCTGTGCCGTTCTTGATTTGATGATAAGGCAAACGCGGAATCGCCTCAGAACCAATAGCAGCTACCTCTTCAACTTCTGGTTTAAGTTTAGCGAGGACATCCCTCCAGGTTTCTATAATGCTATCTTTCCAGATTTCTTTCTTCAAATCAGAAAAACGCTGTGGAAGTTCTACTGCTTTGTCACCAGATAACGAGGCGAAGACATCAGCTATAGAGCCTTCATCCTACTTATCAGTAAGTACAGTATTGTCTTGTAGCCACTCAATTACCTTCTCCTTGGGAGCCACTTTGGTAGCTAGGCATCTTGATCTCGTGCTAATAGCTTTAAAAGTAGTTGGAATAATACGCTTTGGAGTGTAGAAGACCATAATTGTTATGATAAACCCTTGAAAACCAGATGATTTCTTAAATATGTTCACCTCCAACGGCGTTCGCGAGATACACGGTAAGAATCCATAGTGGGGTCCGAGTGAGGGGAACGCGGGGTTGTCCAGCAATAAATTAGAGTTTTGTCCTATTGAAATTTATAGTGTAACATCCCCAGATGAACCTTAAGTGCCTGTGGCGGAGATAAGTGTTGTCACTCAAAACAAGCATCTGAAAAGTATCCAAAGGTATCTAATATCCAGATATATATATATATATGTATATATTTACTTTACAAGATATTTCAATCCCTGCACGATTCATCCAATGGTATATATGGAGGCCCCTAAATCAAAAAGCTTTACATACTTCCAAAACTCTATATCCAAAATCTAATACGATATCTTCATAACTCACGTAGATTTGCGCTGATACTCTCACCCAGAGAGAAGATGAATGATGATAGACTGAAACTGAAAATTGTTTATCAGGTGAATGCATAAGCTGACGTTGAATAGACTTTGCGAGGTCGGTAATATTGGTATCAGAAGGTAACCTTGTTAAATCCAGTGGTAATTCTACGTTTACCATATTCGCAGTGAGCTCGTATAAGCCATTGTCAAGCATCGAAGTACCCCATAGCTTTGCAAGACCTTTACCAGCTTGTAAGGCAAGTGTGTGACAATATTGGTTGATGTGTGCTTCACCTCCCATAGATTCACGATAGTCCAATGCAGGAATGACAGATAAATATGGACATAGGTCGGTGGTACCACTCCAAGAATGCAACTTGGCAAACGGATGTTCGCGGCCGCTTTCGATAGCCTCAGTACCATTATAGTATGGTCCGACCGGCATGCTTGAAGTGAAGATATTTTGTACATCTTTATCGGCGTACATAACAGCGCATCCACGCTGGGCAAAAAGCCACTTGTGACAGTTTGATACCCAGAAGTCTGGTTTTGCATCTGCCAAATCAACTGTCTGCTGACCTATTTCTTGAGCAGCATCCACTAAGCTGAGAACATAGTTTTTCCTGCACACCTCCACCAGACGTTGCCAAGGCATTCTACATCCTGGTTTTGATGCTATCGCGTCAATCAGCGCTAATTTAGGACTTGTTGATCCCATTAATGCTGTCTCGAAATCTGCGATGATATCCTCATGTGTGCTTGGGAATGTAAGTGGTATGATAGTCATACGTAGACCAATATTTTTGTCTAATACAGAACGACAAGCATTGAAGCAGCTATTTGATGGTGTTAGTACATACTTTTGAGGGTTTACAACACACCTTGGATAAGTAGTACTAAAAACAAAGATCTCATCTTCTGGATTAAACTTGATACTGTTCAATATCTCGCTAACACCATGTGTAGCATTCTGCTGAGTGTGAGCCATACCTTCTGATAAATAGTTTCCTTACTTGTATGAAAACTAAGTCTCTGTCATCACAGTTGACTAACTTGGACAATCTTCGGCGGGCTTCATTGAGAGGTGTTTCATACTCTGCTTCAACATACCAGAGATCTGGGTTAGACTCCACTCTATCCTGAAGCATTCTATACGATTGCATTACGGGTTTAGGAACAGTTCCAAATGATCCTTTGAATGTGTGAGAGGATGTTCGAGATCATGAAAACCTCACTAACCATGATTGAGATTAACTGATGTACTTATATAAGTGCCTAAGTAACATCAAAGTAATGTAACTCACTATAATTTTCATTGAGTGAGAAATCTTGCCTTCTTTCTCTACCAAAACCTATTTTCTTTGGTGTAGGAGTCTGCGAACGTGAGCTACAACAGCTGATATCTTTCCTCCTATCATTTCTTATGAACATAAAGTTAGATACTAGTTCCGATAATTCATCAGACATATTATTATCATCTATTTTTACCCAGCGGTATAGTTTTTCCTTTATGAATGCATCAAACGTCCATAGCTTGCTTTCTAATCTATCACTGCTGTCTCTCCAGACATACACCTCACAATCAACCTCATCAAAGTTATGGGGTGTTGTTTTACCAGAGGGTTTCCACTGTTCTGTGCAAATTTCATTTTCTGTTGTTCTGAATGCTTTTGTAGATATTCTCTCATATTCGTCACCTTCGAATTGATCTAATAAGTCCATATGATAATCTGCAAGTCCTTCAATCAGTGCTCCGTGTACAGTTGATTCTTCATCCGTCAATTTCTTCTGCAATACTGTCTCTCCATCTTTAGTTATCGCAGGATAGTCCTCCCCGATTACGTGGTGCCGAGTATAGCCTTTCAAAGTGGCGTTCGATACGTTAAACGCCGTTATCGGCTCATTATCTAGCACACTTTTCAGTATCTGAGGTACCATTAGTGTACCATAACAGAATACCGTATGTTTTTTCTTATTCCCGTCCGCCCTATCAACTAGCATGATGACGGCTTGGTAGATAAAGTCACATAGTAGACGCACGAAATTACAAAAAAAGTTAATATGAATCAACTATAAGTACAAACTCCAATACATGGTAAGGTAATAATTGATTTATTGACCACCACGCAATCTTAAGACCAAGTGAAGGGTGGACTCCTTTTGTATATTGTAATCTGAAAGAGTCCTGCCATCTTCTAATTGTTTACCAGCGAAAATGAGACGCTGCTGATCTGGCGGAATACCTTCCTTGTCTTGGATTTTGGTTTTGACGTTATCGATAGTATCTGAGGACTCGACTTCCAATGTGATAGTTTTACCTGTGAGTGTCTTTACAAATACTTGCATACCACCACGAAGACGTAAGACTAAGTGGAGCGTAGATTCCTTTTGAATATTATAGTCTGAGAGAGTACGACCGTCCTCTAATTGCTTACCAGCAAAGATAAGACGTTGTTGATCTGGTGGAATACCTTCCTTGTCTTGAATCTTCGTTTTGACGTTATCGATGGTGTCTGATGACTCAACCTCTAAAGTAATTGTTTTACCGGTAAGAGTCTTGACGAAAACTTGCATACCACCACGGAGACGTAAAACCAAGTGGAGTGTAGACTCTTTTTGAATATTGTAGTCTGAGAGAGTACGACCGTCCTCTAATTGCTTACCAGCAAAGATGAGACGCTGTTGATCTGGTGGAATACCTTCTTTGTCTTGGATTTTGGTTTTGACGTTATCGATAGTATCTGAGGACTCGACTTCCAACGTGATAGTTTTACCTGTGAGTGTCTTTACAAATACTTGCATACCACCACGAAGACGTAAGACTAAGTGAAGCGTGGATTCCTTTTGGATATTGTAATCGCTAAGTGTACGACCATCTTCGAGCTGTTTACCAGCGAAAATTAAACGCTGTTGATCTGGAGGAATACCTTCCTTG